ATATATATATATATATATATATATATATATATAGATGAATCAATTTTTTTTTCTAGATTTTTTTTTTTTTTTAAAATTAATAATTCATTTTTTTCATTTTTTTTATTTCTAAAATTAATAATTCAAATTAAACCTAAATCTAGCTGGTTGTATTTGATCAGCATTTAATTCTAATTCTGCAAAATCAAATATCATAACATCAGTTTGATTGGATTGATAAGATAAGCCATTGTTTATGACATCATTATAAGTGAAATATTCCACGAATTGATCAATATTTTCATTTAAAATAAAACGACCAAAACGTGGTGATATGATAACAAAGAAACGTGGAGTTAAACCCTGTAAATGATTAACGAAAAATTTATTTATTTTTAAATTCAAATTTAAAATCTAAATTTTAATCAAATTTTTTGATCATCACATTTTTTTTCTTTTCCTTTTTCTACAAATGTTACCTGTAAAATGGAAGCATTGAGATGTTTATCAGTAATAAGCGCTATTGAGCTACCATTAGCAATAAGCGTTTGTGGATTTAATATAGGAAGTACACGTACGTATGAAATACTTTGAATTGTTTCATTTAATTCATTTTCAACTTTAAATTCAAATTGATCCTGAAAATTTCATTTTCAATTTTTAATTCAAATCGATCATGAAATACACTATCAGCTCAAATTATCATGCTATAACAAATTCATTCATTAAATGTAATACTATTTTTAAATTGAACTAATTATTCAAGTTCAAAAAAACGACAATTAATTAAAATGCCAAACTTCTTTATTGAATAAATAATTACTTCTTTAAAATTTAATATATAATTTTAAATTTTATATTTTTAAATGTAAAATATTTCATGCATAAATATTACATTAAAATGATACATTATAAAATTTATCCATTAATTTTTTATTTATAAAATGAATTAACCTGAAAAGCTTGCATATTAAGTTGTGCATAAAGTACACGTTCCTCATCAATATCATCTTGTGTGAATGTATTTGCTTCCGTTTCACCTGCTACCCAATATAGCGTACCATTTTCTGGTGATTTCGTTATTTGATAGATAATTTTAGATCGATTACCATTTGATTTAGCACCAAAATGTGTCCTATAAAAAAAAAAAAAAAAAGAAAATCAACTTTTAATTATTGCTAATTATCATTGTATAAAAAAAATTGTATCATATCCTCAATGAATTCTTTCTTTACTCTTTTCTTGTTTTCAATTATTTCTAAAATTATTTTTGATGAATGATTTTAATAGATGGAATTAATAATGTAAGTTTGTTTAGAAGTTGAATTATTTTTATAAACATTTATTTAATTCCTTATTCCATACCTTTCTTCTATATCAATCAAATAAATATCGAATTAATTTAATTAAATAATCAACTATACCCTTATTTGTTTATTAAGCAATCTTAATTAATTCTTTCCCTAATCATTTACTTAAAATTGGATATAACATTAGATATGATATTAGTTACATTCTTTTCAATTATTACCTGTTCAAGAGGATATATGTTTTTCCTTGAATATATTCGATATCAGAATGATTTTCGAATGACAATGATAATGGTAATATATCAACAATAAGTGCCCTTATATGACTGCCAACCCAAAATAATTGAATTTGTTTAAAAGGTAAATAAAAACAAATAATTAGTAATTAATGCAACATATCATATAAAATACTAATTTTCACCTCTAAAAATTACTAAACTGAAATTATTAAAATAATTTACTAAATTTATTAAAAAATTATTAAAATAATAATAATTATTTCATATTATCAATTTATGGTAAAAAAAAGAAAGAAAAGAATTGATTCGTTTTTTTTTCCTCCTTTGAAAGATTAATAATGAATTTAATTTCAGGCCTATAAAGTTTGCTAAGATTTTCCCTTAATTTAATCTAAAATTTATACTTTATCTACTCCAAAAAATTTTTAACATTTTATTTATTTTATTTCGAGATTATCTCTCAGATCGATTGCTTATTGATTATTTTGAAATGATGAATAAAATATTTAATTTTTGAATTTTCAAATTATTTCAGAAATAAATTTCATAGAAGATAAAGTGTAAATTGTTTAAAAAAAAAAAAGGGAAATAATATAACTTTGATAATTGATAAAAGATTATTCGGAAATTTTAAAATAATTAATTAAGAAAATAATAATGATAAATCATTAAACAACCTGAAAGACGACAACATCAATGTCATCATGAGTATTCGGTTGTTGCTGATGATAAAGCCGGATTTTACCTTTGTTTATGTCATCTTGAGTAAACAATTCTGTTATATCATTCTTTATCAAAAATTTCACTCCATTACTTCCTGCCTGAAATTTCATTTTTCATTGATAAAATTAAATTTGGTTAGAAAAAAAAACACAAAATCAATATAAGGAACAACAAAAAATTCCTAAAAGAATGTTGAATTCTACCTGAACTAATCGATATTCTAAACCAGCTGGTTTGATTACCGGATGCGTAACTTGGAATATTTCCGGTGATAGAGAATAATTGTTCCCGGTAATTAGTTTAATTCGATCCGGAAATTTCTCAATCTAGAAATGAAGCATTGAGAGAATTGCATGTAATCAATAAATTAGATTTAACTGTTAATAAAGATAAAATTGATTTAGAAAGAAAAAATAATAAAACTAATAACCTTTATCAGTGGATCATCTTGTGATATTATTATTACCGATAAAATCAATAAATTAGATTTAACTGTTAATAAAAATAAAAGTGATTTAGAAAGAAAAATAAATAAATAAAAACTAATAACCTTTATCAGTGGATCATCTTGTGATATCATTATTACCGGTAATCTTACACGTAAACGATTTGTTCGACGATTAGCATCATTTTTGGGTAAAATATGAAATGAAATCTCATCCGGTAATAATGTTTCATTTTGTTGTCGATAAATTAATGATCTTCCAGTTAAAAGATCAAAAAGTTTCATTAGAGTAGTTTGCTTAACAATACTTTTTAATACATCCAATTGACCATATCGTGGTTTCCGTGAAAAATCTACCAGAAGTTCATCACGAAAATGCTCCCGTATGATATTCAAATTA